TCCGCTTTGTTCCTGGCGGCGTGCCCACCGCAGCTCCGAGGCCGGGCCGGGCCTTGCTGCCCCGCGTTCGTGGGCTGCCCCGTTCCGTGCGCTGTGGGCCGCGGGAGCAGGCCTGTGCTTCAGTACCGCGCTCCTGCCGCTGCAGCCGCCGGAAAAGCTCCTCCGGGCAGCCAGCACCGCTCTGCCTGTTTCCTGCTAGGAGAAGACCCCTAGATAGATAAGGCGTGTGGCCATTTGAAAGGGATCCTAGTTCTGTCATGAAGATGTTGAAAACACCTGTGCCATGCAAGATCTCAGTAATTGTCTTTGTACCGTGAAAAAGGGCATTGGTGCAGACTAGCTCCCAGAGCGGGTATTTAGAACCTAAAATAGCAGCATCCCTTCCCTCTCAGTATTGTTCTTTCTGTTTTATGGTTTTGATGTAATTGTTTTCTGTTATTATCTGTTTCTCATAACTCATAGTATGGGACTGACTTTATTGCCAAAATAAAACCTCTTGGTTTTTCTTATTAGGGACTTTATTTTCTTTGTGAGATGCTTTTTTTTTCCTCGTAATGTTATGTAGGATTAGATACAATATTTTGCTGCTCGTTCTTCCGGGCCAATTCGTTTTCCAATTCTGTTTTCCCTGGTGGCTGAGTTTGCAAGTATTACTTGCTCTCAGGGGGATTGCTTACTAAAGCAATTCCTGCTCTGTAGATTATAAGTGGGCAGGATCAACCCAGCTTACATTTACAGAAAGGTGAGAAGGGAGGAGAAAAAGAAACGTATCAAATTCAGGGGAGGGCAGAGGTAATGCCAAAGATTTCTACTTCACCACTTTAAAATGTCTATTTAAAGGCACTCTACTGTGTTAGACTAACAGTTCCACATCCTAGAGGTGGTAAACATGGCTGAGGATAAACAAGCCTTTGTTGATGAGATAAATAAAGCATTGGCAAAGTCTGAGGGGCTTACCTTGAAGGATCTGCTGTTCTCCTACCGGGGGACCCCGTATCCTGTCACAGTGTGCAGTGTGGAAACATTCCAAGCTCTGGAGAACCTGGAAGCCCGAAGAGATGATATGGTGCTGGTGTCCTACCCCAAATGCGGTGTATACATTATAAATTGCTTGCTGTAGTCTGCAATACTCTAACTAATGAGCTGACACAATAAGAAAGAAAATCAACTGATTGCAGTTGTATGTTGTGTGAGGATATTGGGCATTTCTACTCCAACAAGAGGCAGAGGTTTTTGTCCTGCTTTATCTTATTTAAGGAATATGTTGCACTGCTTTTTAATATGGTTTGTTTCTGAAAGGAAAAGTTTCAGTGTTCAAAGATATTTTTGGCTGAAGAAGTGAGATTAAAGTACAGTTTTTTTCTATATCAGTGGGGCAAGATAACTCTGCCAGTTTGATAAACTGTATTCTGAAAAGCATGTTAGTAGTGTAGTGTACAAAAGCAATAAAGTTGTGCATTAGATTCTTTAAATGAAGTGTAGAAAGTGACATGGCACAACATCTTGCAAAAGTATAAACTGTTTCTTGGCATTATTCAATACCAGCATTGTTTTTGTTACTACAAATGGAATTGACTAAGGCATCCTGGAAGTTTAAATCTTTTAGAGTCTAAATCTTTGCAGAAAGGAGGAAAGGTGCAACAGTGAAAAAAGCCCCAATCAACCAACTGGTTGATTTTGATCAGTTTTATTACATCAGTTGTGATATGGATACTTATAAGGAAGGGAAAGATTTTGCTAATCTAGGAAATCCTATCCAAGCATATGTTTCTTCTTTGAGACCCAAGCAGCAGAAGCTTAGGGTTGTTGGAGAAAACTTGGGTCCAGGGAAGGATTTCATTGCACTAGCATGGTCAGGGTCTCATTTTGCCCATAGAATTTCCACTTGTTGGTCAGTTCTGATCTGGAAAGAAACTGTGGTGTATTTAGGGGCATAAGAAGTGTGCCTGTAGTGTTTAGGGTGAATTTATAGCAGTCGTGAGATGGGACACTGAACCAAGAGAAGAGGGGATATAAATATAAATAAATATAAATATAAAAGGAGGATGCTGGCACAAAATGTGAAATGTGCATCTTTATTTTAAGGAGTCTGTAATTCCATTGGGTTTGGGTCCAGAGTTTTGCTGGACCATATAAAGACTTAAAAGGTCATTGTCATAACTTGGCCCTGGGTTTTCATTTCTCACAGAGTTTGGAAGAGTTCAGAGATGGAGTTGTGATGCTGATTACCTCTGAGATTTTGTAACTCAGTAAAGCTCTCCTGCTCAGAGGGATCAGTACATAGAGGTCTCACACTCTTAATATCGTGCAGTTTTCGGTAGGTCTTCAGGGGGAAATTCTACCAAAGATCACTGCCAGTTGTCAGTAGGAGAGGGAGTACACAGGTCCCTGTGGTTTGCTGGAGAATGCAGCACCCTGTTACCTGTCAGACACTGGTATGAGAGGTTGCATGGAAGAAATGGCAAAGCAGGAGGGAGAAAAAATACTGTGTTTATTCAGTGCAGTGTAGTTACAATCTGCAGGTAAATCTTCGGAATTTTTTCCCATTTGGATGTATGCTCTTATACTCTGAAACAGTGCTAAATCGATATTTTTTTTTTTGGTCCTAATTTGCTATAGTTTGCAAAGTGGGAGGGAAAAAAAAAAAAAAAGTAGAGGAAAAAGAAGGAAAGGAAAGATTAGGTACCCCAGTTTGAAACCAGAAATTGCTAGGTTCCCTCTTGCCCCTTGGTGCAACACTCAGACCCACCAAGCCATAATGTCACCAGGCAGTAGTAAAAATCTCTCTGCAAGCCTGTTACCCTCTTGAACCAAGGGAGCCTGGTGTCTGGCTCCCTCTGCCAGCTTCTCAGGTGTTTCCCATGCAGGGCTCAAACTCTTTGGCATTTGCCATGTTTAGATGATCATTAACATGTCTGATGAAGGACTCACATTGAGGCCCTTCAAGAGATTTGTCTCTCAGAGTTTCAATGTTGTCCTCATTCCTTTTTCTTCTTAAGGATTATGAATGTTAAGTTACAGTAGAGTGTTACTATATAAAATGTTTCCCCTAACTCAAGTGTGTGCAGTGGAGAGGAAAACTGACAGAGCTACTGTTGAGGCAGGGGTGAAGGACGATGGAGCCCCAGGGTGCAGTAGTTCCTTGGGCTGCGTCACACGGTTAAGAAGCCAGTAGGGGATTTACAGACTAGGAATTTTACGTTTTATCATTTGTAGCTTTTCTTTAAAATGAAATTTGTATTTGTGTGCATACAATTAATACTGGGCAGATGAGGATATGGATTTGAGGACTCAGTGTTTTTGGCTCGGATCTGCGCGTAAATGGGAGAGCGATATAAATGATGTCGTATATAAATATGATATTGAATGGTGTATAAATGTATGTATGCATTATAAGACATTGTGTGATGTGTACACATCGTATCCACACCATTGTATAAATATGACACGTTTATCATACTGTTTCCATCCAGGCATCCTGAAGCACTTTATATAACATAGGGTAGAAGTTACGCCTTTCTGGGAATAACTTTCCACTAAAAGCATGAGAGGTTAAAGCTGTTTGCATTGTGTGTTCTCTGCTTGTGCCTCTGGCAGCTGTGTTCACAGGGGACTCGCAGCATTCAGGAGGCAGCAGCAGCTCCGCAGCTCCATCCCCGTGGGCCCAGTGGGAAGACTTCCAAGTGCCTCCCCACAAGGATATGAGGAGGGTGCTGCAGGCCAAGGTGAACATGCTGTTCCTTTGCGCTGTCCTGCTGGCAATCGGCAAAGCATCAGTGGAGCAAACGTGATTCCTGGAAACCTTGGGGAAGCAGGCACCATGGCGCAGCTCCAGGAGCTGGCCACAGGCTCACTCTGGAATGGGATGCTGTATGGGGGAGGCTTTCCTGCAAGATCCCTTCCAAAGGGTGAGGGGTGGGGAGGGATGCAGGTGTCCAGTGGGTGACAGCTCTTCTAGCACTTACTCTGACATACACTTTATGGAGATGGCGGTAGGCACAAATGAGGACAAGCACTGGCAGTGACACTGAATAGGTGACTCCATTTCATCCTTGACCCAGAGCAATAGAGAGAGGCAGACGCTTTTGTCAGCAGAAAGAGTGAAGCTCCTTGCTCATTCCTTCATTCTCCTATCCAGACCAGGTGTTTCTCTGTAAAAGCCAGGAAAACTCCCTTTATTGTCTGTCACTGACTGTTTTGTGAATATATTAAAAAGATGTTAAGTGCATCGTGGAGTCAGGTCTGACCCCAGGGCTTTCCACATACCAGTTATAAGCGAGCCAAGAAGGTCATAGTTAAGAATCTGTTGAGGTTCTCATGAATGGAAAACATTCTTTTGCTTATAATTGTTTGAGAGCTTTAGTGTTATTTGTCATTTGATGGCAGTCTGTTCTGTTGAATTAAACCATGTAATGAGAAGGCTCTGAGATCTTACATAAACCTCTGATATGTTTTATTTTGTTCTCTGGGTTTCTTGGTGCAGGTGTCAACTGGCTTATCCAGATTTTAAGTGATTTGATATTTACAACTATCCAGAGTAAACCTGTAAGTGCAGAACTACCATTTATTGAATGTGGAGATCCAGATAAATATCAGGTTAGTGAAAAGAAACTATTGAACCACTTAAAGTCTGTTGTTTTCTCTCTCCTGCACCCCCGCACACAAGTTATTAAAATGAAGTCATGCAGCAAGTAAAGATATTTCTCCTGAGAGGAGAAAACAGATAATCTCAGATGACTAATGCCTTTGATTAGGGGTTGTTTCACACGGGCGACTCTCACAGATCATTGCTGCACCCATGTAATAAACCTGTTCTCACTTATGGTTCTGTTTATTTCTAAAGAGGATGAAGCAGATTCCATCTCCAAGGATTTTGGCAACACATCTGAATTATGATTGCCTCCCCAAGTCTATTTTCAAGAACAAAGCCAAGGTGGGCTTTCTTCTTTTTCCAGGAGCAAGCCTCATCTCTCTGGTAGTCCCAGCATGCAAGAGTAATTTTGGGGCCACATCCTTTTCTCGCACTCAAGCAGGTGACACAGAGGGAAAGCAACAGTGGGAGTCTCATGACACCTGGTCTGGCTTAGCACCCTGTACAGTTTACAGTAGCCTTAAGGGCGCTGTAGTTGGCATAAACAAGAACAGATCTAGAGGCTGTTGCAGTGCTCAGAAATGGCTGGAGTGTCACACTTTCCTCTTTTATGCTATTTTTCTCTGTACACAACTGTGGTGGGAATGAATGTGGCAGCAGTATCTCTGTGACATTAGTTGTCTCCTTGCAAAGAGTCACACTGTTAAAATTTCAATATCTCTGGTACTCGGTTCCTGAATAATGGTGGATACATAGCACTTAGGAGGTGTACCACTGATGAAGGAAATAATTGGTTAAAGGATGAGGATTTCTTGAACATTTCACTGGTATTTTTTCCTGTATGAGAAAACGTGTATAACAAAAAATTTAATGTGTATAACCCGTTTTCAGAAGTGTTTACACTTCTCTGAGGATTACAATCTCAGGATTTTAAGTACATTATTGGCACACTTTGAAAAATGGGAGATGATTGTAATAAGCTGTGGTTTCCTGAAGCAGAATCAAACAGAGCTTTTCCTAGCAGGGGTTTGGCAAGTGGTTCCTAATGATTTCCCAGGTCTTAGGTAGTTATGGGGTAGCATTCAGTGACAATATTACAGTTTTTCCAGTTGCTTCTTTCTACAACCGATTCATGACATAAGCAAATCTTAGAAGCGGTAACAAGATCTTTATTATGATCATGTTATAAATTTGTTCTCTGTGCTTTAACTAATAAAATATTTTATAGCCCCTAGTATGTTATTGATTGCAGAATGTTTGCTTATGCTCTTATTTTGGTTGCCAGGGGAAATAAGCGATCTAAAATTGTTGACCTCTTTCTCCCACTCCAGATTCTAGTGCTGTTTCGAAACCCTAAAGATACAGCTGTTTCATTTTTCCATTTCCACAACAATGTGTCAAGCGTGCCCAGTTACAGCTCCTGGGATGAATTCTTCTCAGAGTTCATGAATGGGAAAGGTATTGTTATAGTTACTGAATGTAGCTGAAGCAGCAACACACACACGCACAAAAAAAATTTAAAAATTAAAAACAACTAAATGGGACCAGTGGGAAAACAGCTGTGTCATAATTAGTTTACTGGTGGCCATACATCATGATAAAGGAGGCAGCTGAATGCCAGAATGTCCAAAAGATGTTTTGTTTCTGGGTATTTTGCTCTTCCAGGCAAGGGTGAGAGAGTTGCATGGCAGCTTGACAATGGCATTGGGTCAGAATTCTGCAGCTAGTCCTGGAGGAAACACTACAGTTCTGAAGTGGTAATGTAGTGACAGTTTGTTGTCTTGTCTGTTTCTGCACACCTCATTAGCAACTCAGATTTTAGATTTAGACTGATGTCTGGCTTTGGCTTTTAAGAGGTGTTTAAATGACAATATAATAACAGAGGGGAAGCACATAGTGAAATTTGTATTTCTGTGTGGAAACCATTTACCTACAAAAGTCCAGAGAAAGCCTCTGTCATTCTGTTGTACAGTACGATACCATTGAAAGGACAGGCTGTTCTGTTTCTTTGCATTGCTGTAACTGATAGGCAACAGAAGGCAATTCTTCAGTCAGAGAGAAGAAAGTACCTAGTAAGAGAAGGTCACACTGATGTTTCTTTCTCTTCTTTACAGTTGGCTGGGGATCCTATTTTGATCATGCGGTCACCTGGAACAAACACATTGAGGATGAGAATACTATGATCATAATATATGAAGACCTGAAAGAGGTAAAACAGATGCTGTGTACTGACAGGCAGAACACATCCGAGCCCATTCCTTGAAATGTGCTGAAGTTAACAACAGAAGGCACAGGTTTCTGAAAGAGCAAGATTAAGTTGATTTTCATGACAAGATGAGTCTGGCTATAGAAAAGCTGAGCTCCAGTGTAATGCGAAAACATACTGTGAAGAAAAATATGTAGTTAATAGATTATGGCAATTGGCATCTCAAGTGGGTAACTCCTTTTCTGGAGGAAGCATATTGTGTGTCTCCCTTTCACCATATTGCTTTCAGAACCTGACTGCCAGTGTAAAGCAGATAGCTGAATTCTTTGGATTCTCCCCAACGGCAGAGCAGATCCAGTCCATTGCAGACAGGGCCACTTTCCAGGCAGTGAAGGATAAGGCGGAGGAGACTCATGGTGCTGTTGGCTCAATTCTTTTCCGCAAAGGTAAATTTGGTTGTATTTTGCCAGGGTGAATGGTAGCACTGTGTCTTAGGCAGACAGGAATTTGGATCAGTAGATTGTTAATATTTCTGTAAAATTTTCAAGGTTGGGAGTTGTTTAAGAAAAAACGATTATACTTCAGGATGCTGTCACTTGATTTCATCACAAGAGCCTTTACCATTTGGTAAAGCCCTATATAATGTGATTAGCAGAAGTGCCCTACAAGTAGCACACCCTTCAGTCGTGATATGCAATAAGCACCAGTTAAAACAAAGAAGAGTTATTTTGGCTTCTGTGAGTACTGGAGATAGCCTGGCACTTAGTCTACAGAGTGCCTCCACAGATGTTTCCCCTTGGGTTTTCTAAATAACCCTTGTGATTGCCTATGAACCTCAGTCAACACATGGAATCTAGAAACTCCACAGATTGAGCTGTGTCTTTTAGTCATGGATCAAGCTAGAGCTGTAGACTCAGACAACCTTGGACTGTGGGCTCTCCAAAATCTAGATTAAAGGTGGACTGCAGCTTAGGGCAGTGTCTGCTTGCTGTGCACAAAACTCTTGCAGTTAAAAGCCAAATCTTTGAACTTTCTGGGTTGGTTTCACAGCTGCTGGACATCTTTTATGGTCTTCTGCAGCTGCACAAGGCACATGTCAAAGCTATGAAGGCAGACCAGTAGCTTCGTATGTTTGCTTTATGTTCACATTCCACTGAGGACACCAAATGTAAGGCAAATATAAGAGTGTCTTCTTGGGTCAAAGATTCTTTTATTGCAAGAAGAAAAAAAAAAAGAAAAAAAATGGATTATCCTGAAATATGATAATGAAAGACTATGTAGTTTTTTGTTTTAAATCATAATCCTTGGTCCTTTCAGTCAAGGGTAATATTTTACTTTTCTTTATTTTCTAGGTGTTGTCGGAGACTGGAAAAATCTTTTCACTGAAGCTCAGAACCAGGAAATGGATGCCAAATTCAAAGTGTGCTTAGAAGGAACTAAGCTGGGAGCAAAATTAAAATATGATGTGTACTGCAAGATCTGAACCTCCTTTACAGAAAAAAACCCTCATATTCAGGCTGCTTTTCATTCACTTTCATGAAATAAACCAGAAACTGGCAATATCTGATTTAAAAATTTTGAAGATCCATGCAATTTGCAAACCTGTTTCTGCTGTCTTAACTTACACAAGCAATCCTTGCTTATGCAGTTAATACCATTGACTTCACTGGATTCTCTTAAATGAGCTGTAGTTCTTTGGCCTCACTTGGTTTTTAACAACTGATTTTTAGCTATGATTTCAAGTTACCTGGTAGAATCCTGTGTGGAATATATATGCAGTAGTTAAACCTGCTGAAATTGCTAGAAATGTATTTAATATGTTGGAAATGATTTTCCAAGAGATTTTTTAAAACAATCATGAAATGTCATTTTGATTCTTAATTTCTAAGTTCACATAGTATTCACATATAATTTTAATTAGTATAAAATGAAGTTTCAAAAGGCCTTGTAGTTGTCTTTTGCTACTTTTTGTGTGCTGATAAATGTGAGAAAAAAGTAAAGGAACTCAGCAGTGGAAATTTTCTCCCCCTTTTGGCAAAAATATTTTTCTTTCCTTTGGTGATGTGAGATCTCCTCCTGAGCAACTGAATGAATTGCCTTGGACAGAACTTACTTAGGGAGGTTGGAGTCCACCTTCTGGATGTGGCTTGCTTTGTTGCTTAACCTCAACACAGGGTTACCCATGGGGGAAATTGGAAACCTGTACTGAGAACACCAGGTTTTGTCCACGTGGTGGTTTGGACTCCTGAGCACCCACCCTGCTTTGGATGTTGAGGAAGTGAATGAAGAAGCTCCTGGCTGGGCAGGAATAGGGGGAAGTCACTTTATGGTATCGGGGCAGGGGATTGGTAAACAGCTGATTGATTTGTGTGAAAGAAGGGGCTTCTTACACATAAGAGAAAGAAGTGCTTCTTGCATAACTCTGGAAATGGAGCCTTTACCTGGGTTATCTGGCTTTGCCTGGGTTACTTTATGCCTAACAGTAGTATACAGGATCTCAGAGACAGGATGTGAATTTGTTCTGGTCATCTCTCTGAGAGATTTGAAGTGCCACTGTCCAGAACAGAATGACTGTCCTTTGGTGGAGCCAGAAGACTGGTGTGTGCACAAGACAGTTGAACATTGAATGGTCTCATAAAAGGCTGCCTTTTTGACAGCTGGGTGTTTTTCCCACCAGATGCACTTCTTTATCTCCCAAGAGCAGGAAGACAAAGGAAAAAGTACTCCTCTAGAGAAGGAATATGTGGGTAATAGGCACACTATTGCTAATTTAGCGAGTAGGGGAGGTTATGGTCTTCCTCCTTATAGTTTGTCAGCTTCTGTCTGACAAATAATTGTCGTGAGTTGCCAGAAGGAGTGGTTGTTACCGCAATGCTGGGTAAAGAATATAGCTTAGCCAGCCTGAAAACTCAAGTATTGGGTACTTGAGGTGTTGATACAGATGGACTCAGTAAGACCTTCCACTGCACACTTTGTTATCTGATGGTAAGCACAATAAACTCCTAGTCATTCAGTGCTAATGAGAATCCCTTTCTAAAAGTCTACCATGACAAAGGCATTAACTTCAATGCATAGTTAGGAATGTCCTACCGTTCTGTAGCCAGATCTCCACAAAGTCTTGTTTGTCTCTCTTGGCATATTCCCCTATTAATTTTCTTCTGTTCTAGCCATGTTTGCTGTAGCAGTGAGAACTGCATCCAGCTCACTGATGGAGCAAAAAACCTCCAGCTGTTGGTGCTTCAGGTTGACTAGCTAAGATGCCAGTGTCCCAAAGACTGGCATTCGCATGGTAGGAAGAAAGGATCAAAGAAGATGTGAATTTGCTTTCAAAATTAACAGCTGTAATAATTTAAAATTAGTAAACCAAAAGTGGGGTACTGAGGAGGATTGAAGAGCAATATAGAACACACAAACCCAAACTGTATCAGAATGAAGTGGATTACTACTAAACAAATGAAAGTTTCAGGTTGCTAAAGCTGTCTCAAACAAATCTGACATTCCCTATAAGCTTTATATAGGCACTGGAAAAAGCATGGCTATTCACCTCAGCTGTACCTGCTGCAGCAGTAGATCAAGATCATTGCTAAGCAGTTGGTAAAAGGAAGTTCAAAAGGCTTTGGTTGAGGATAATGTTGAAACAGGAGCACTATTTCCTATTAAAGTAGGTTGCCTGATTTACTGACAGATCAATAATAGCAAGCCTCTCCACTTAAACTGCTGTATTTCTCAGTTTAAGATTACAATGAAATAGGCATTTCAAGAGGAAATCCTGTCTCAAGATGCTAAATAAATGACTCCTAAACTTTTACACCTTTTGATCAGCAAGGTTATTTAAGCTGAGGTTGTTTAGCTCTTTGAGGAAATATTTTATGGGTCTCATTCTTAAGTTCCTTCAGTCTGATCTGCACGTTCTTCTCAGTGCATATTCTCATACTCAGTAATTGCCGGCTAATGATGAGCATTAAAGAACATTGAGTATAAGATTAGTGAGTGTGAGGGGCAACTGATTTTTTTGCAGCTTTCTGTGTGTTGTAGGTTCAGTTCTGTTAAAATGATGTGGTGGGGTAAAAGGGAAGAAAGTGAGACATAATGTTGCTGGAGAAAGGGACAATTTGTACCTTACTCAAGCACATTCAGGATGAAAAGGCACTGTGAAGTGCTTTGAGATGGTGGCACTGAAGGTCAAATCCAGTAGCCCACAATGATTGCAGTTATCGACAGCAGCTAAACTAAACAAAAGATTCAAACCCAGCAGAAAAATTAAACTCCTCACTGTGGAAAATCACCAGTCATATATTCTTTCAGCCATACATATAGGGAGCAATTTTGTATATGTATTTTCCATTTCTATATTTTATACTTCATATATTTTTTTGCTTTTATACTGTTCTTTTTATTATGGTACTCAGCAGTAAAACTTTAAATGGTATTTTTGATACACAACATTTAAAGGATATGTTGGATCATTCAGCTTCTAAAGAAGAGTGTTTTTCCACTTCACAACCACAGTTCTGATTTCATTTATTCTGTATTTGTGACCTGCTCCACACTTACCATTTTCCAGCAGTTGTAGGTATTTATGATGTCTACTTTGATGGTAACTGGTAAATGCTGCTCTATTAGTACTTCTGTCACCTCCATTTCCCTTATGATGTGTTCAGTAATAACCATAAGGCAGGAAAGTATATTAAAATGATATTGAAAAAGATAAATTGGAGGTCTTCTTGGAAAAGAGAAGCATAAATGTATCTTTTGTATGCAAGAGATGGCTTGCTTGTGTGTGTTCAGGGTGTCAATAACCCAACCAAAAAGGAAAAGAATTCTGGTACTGAATTACAATAGAAGTAAAATGGGATCAAAGCAGACAGAACTGAGATCAGTTTTCTCATTTACAAACTGCAAGCATTTCATATTGCAACATTACGCAGTACCTTAATTGTAAAGATAATTAATGTTGAATTACAATAGAAGTGCTGTAAAAGTAAAGGGCACATATGACATCCACAGGAATATCAAATAATTCTATTCTGAGGGCAGGCTGGCTATTAGAAAGGATGCCAAATGGGTTTATAATGAAGTGGGACATGAAATACAGCCGTTGCAATCTTGTTATGATAGCAAATGCCTGGACTTGTAGTCTAATTTTTTTTTTTTTTTTAATTAAGGTCCTAATACTTTGATCTGAATTTTGGCTGAATGATCAGCTTTGATGGGGATTAATACCTTCTTAGGTTTTACTCTTAAGACAATGCAGATCTCGACAATGTACACTGGAAGTCTTGAAATGAGACTAGTCAGTGATTGTTATGGATGTTACTATTTCCAGGATTAATCCAAAGGAGAGAAAGAGAGAACATTATGAATGAGAGCACTGTATCAGTGCTGTGTCTGAGTGCATTGCTGGAGCAATGGTAAAATGTTATTTATGTTCAGATGGTTTTGGTCATAGATACAATTGTCCTGTATTTCTATCACACTTTGCAATACTTGTATATTGGCTGATATGAAGTATTAGCTGATAAATATTCAGTTTGTGGAAGGTTTTTTGTATGATCGTTTGGCTTCTGCAAAAACTTTAGAGGCTTGAGAAAACATATAGAAAATGAGTCTTTGCTCAAAACGTGAGGCAGTCAAGAGTAGTCAGGAAATGAAAGGAGGCTGGGAAACTAGTCTCTTGGGAGGCTTGTGTACTTGTGAATAATGTAAGCTTATTGACATATGCTTGTGAGGTCTCCAGTGAGTTCCCTGCTGTTTTGCATTTTACAAGCCAGTGAAGCCGTTCTCATTACTAGAACACTCATTAGCTTTCACCCAGCAGGTAAATAAGTCATAATTTCATTATTGTGTATGCCTGATATATCCATAGGCAATGTATTTATATTTGGAGGAAAAAATGAAATACAAGATACTCTTAGGCATTAGGCATATGTCCCAGGAAATGTTAAAAAACTGACAACCAGCAAACAAAAATGGAGTGCTTATATCCTGCCCTCTTCATTTTCTGCAGGCTCAGAGAGTGATCGGAATAACTTCTGCAGATGACTGGGCTGGTCTCTTCTTTCATTCTTTGGGCGAGTATTTATGCTGACTACAATTTTCAGTTTTTTTTCTACTCTCTCACCACAATCCACCCTGTGTTTTCCTGATGGCATGGAATATTTTTTTTTCCTGACTGTTACTTATTTAGAAAACGGTTTCTTTTTCTCTTTTTGTTTATTTATTTTTTTCCTGGCAAGCTGCTTGTGATTGTCTTCACTTGCAACGTGAACAACTTGCTGTTGTGGTACCAGAGACACAGTCAGCCCTCTGTGCATCACCAGAGAAAAGTTACCTTAATGTTGTGGTGCTGAGGGAATATAAATAGAAACTTTATGCACTGAGGTCATGAGGTAGTGAGAGCTTATGTCAGCAGGTGAGGGAGGCCCTGGAGGCCAGTCTGCCCGTGCCCGGGGCAGCTGGGGCATGACCTGGTAAAGGTTGTCTCCGCCAAGGTGTCATTAAACAGCCTCCCCATTACACAGCGTGGCCCTGCCTCGAGAGGAGTTAACTGGAGTAGAACAAGGAGCAGTGGTGGAGACAGCGCCTCAGTCCCTCCAAAATCGGGTGGGGACACCTGGCAGTGTCCCATCAGAAGTGAGCCCAGAGCCTTCGCCATGCTGAGGGGAGGTTTTGGAGGGAAAGCCCCTCTCGCCTCGCCTCATCTCAGGAGCAGTGGGAAAGCAGGGGCTTCCATGGCTGCCACAGCCCCCCAGCCTGGGGCTCTCCCGCCACAGGGTTTTCTCTCTTGGGCTGTCCAGTGCTACACGGCCCAGTGTTTTAAAGGCGAGGGGAGTTCTCCCTGGTCTGAAAAATACAGTTCAGCTCTCAGGTCAGGCTAGTGCAAATACACAGGGGAGTCAGTTCCCTTCCTGGTGACTGATAGACCTCTTGTGCCAGCCTGCCTGGGGTGAGCAGTGGTTGCAGGCTGGTGGTAAACACAAGCCCCCACACTGTCTAAATTCCAACCTTCTGAGGATTTTCTAGCAGTGAAGCTTGCCCATGGTCTTGCCAGAGAGAAACATCGTGTGGGAGGGTGTGGAGGAATGGAAGCACACAAAACAAGCAGGTGTGGAAAGGAGAGTGGCTGTGAAGGCTGAATGTATTTGATAAGTGTGTTCACTATCTGGCTGGAGATTATAATTTGGAGCAAAAAAGCCTTGGGAAAACCACCTGCACAGTGATGCTGGTGGGAAGTGTGCGTGTGCTGCAGATCCTCAGCAGAGCAACAAATGTGATCAAGTGCCGGGGTTTGCTCAGGCCTCCTGTTGTTGTACCGTGGAACACAGTGTTCATGGTGGAGGAGTAAACAGGGCAATAAACAATCTTCTGCAGTTATCAAATGTGAATGTCTCTGTGGCACTTCATTGATTTTGAAGGCCATTTTATGCCTCTCCGGCCCCTGTGCCCTGACTATTGCCATTTTAAATAAGCAATCTGAAGCACAAGAGGCAGAGTGTGTATTTTATACATCAGTGATTTCAAAGTTCCTGTGCAGTGGAGAACAGGCCCTCTAGGGCTCTCTCATGTTGCATTTTTCACTTCCAGTGTTTTGAATGGTTTACAATATAGGGCCATACACATGCTTTGTCCACAAATGAATTGTGTGCTTAAAGCCCAAGGGCACTGAAAGAGATGAAAAATGCATTAATATAGAAAGACAACTATGTAATGCAGTAGAATAAGCATCATTATTAACTGCTGTAAATACAAAGCTGTTTGCAGACACAACAGACCCTCCAGAACAGCAATAACAGAAGTAGCCTGAGTTTACTTCAGAAGGAAAACTGCTCAAAGTCCAGAATTATGTCAAAATCACTGAGGGTAAAAGGAAGAGATGAGACACTGGTAGCTCGGGTACAGCAATACTGCAGCCTTTCAGTGGTATACAAGCAGAGGTGGATGCTGATGCACCAAGGAAAGCATAGCAAAGAAGTCAATATGGCAAATTGTGCTCATTGAGTAAGGAGCAGTTTAGTTGGAAAAAGAGGGAAATCAAACCAAATGCAGCATCTCATTGCAAAAGAACGAATTAAGTACAGA